TACTAAAAATACATGTCGTAAGGATATATTATACTTTAAAAATATACGTGAAAACCGTCTTTTGTATACATTTCCCTACCACACTTCCTTCATGTAAACTTCAGAGCAGATGAAGAGGGAGCATCCTTGAGGGAAATTCTTCACCTCGAAATTCCCAATCATCCAGATCCAGTTGAAAGCTATGTACATAAAATCATTGTGAAGGATATATATGCTTTAAAAATATGTGAAAACCGTCTTTTTTATACATTTCCCTACCACCCTTCCTTCATGTAAACTTCAGGGCAGATGAAGAGGGAACATCCTTGAGGGAAATTCTTCCCCTCGAAATTCCCAATCATCCAGATCCAGTTGAAAGCTATGTACATAAAATCATTGTGAAGGATATATGCTTTAAAAAATATCAGAAAACTGTCTTTTTTTATACATCTTATTTGTGTACATATTGACCATCGTGCTGCATACATTCAGATTTATCTTTAAACACAGAAAAAAAAAGAATGAAAATTTAAAGATATGGCAAAATAAAAAAAAACATAAGACCATTAACTTTAAGACTCAACATTCGTATTTTTTCGTCTGTTCTTCTAAGAAATTATATAGATAATGCATTAGAGCTAAACATCTGAGTTTTTTTGTATTACAGCTTCAATTTACATCACAGGGTAAGTATGCTTAAACCTAAATGATAAGAAAGCACTGACACCACTAGAGAAATAAATAACACTTTCGGCGGTAAAAATGAGAGAGCATACAGAACTCAGTCCCCTGTTATACACATGAGCATAAGCTAGTAAGGGCCTACACTAAAAACACGTGCGCTGTTCTTTTTTTTTTTTTTGCAGAAGCTATGTATGGAAATGCTATGCTTTCAAAGCCTATGAATATTTACCAGTATCAAAATATATTATACTAATCCGCTATTCTCTTAGTCCTATAACTGTTTAGAATACAGTGGCTCAGTATGACGACAGTTGTTGTTAAGAGTTCAAAGAACATAGCTTCCTTGTAGCGCTTCCAGGGTAAGTTCCCACGCCTTATTGACGCGCATATGGGTCTCATTTTACAAGTAGTCATCACCGTCTAATACAGACCGTAATACGTTGTTGATTATGTTGGTCGCTTGTGTAGAGCCTAAACAAGGAACTTTGTAATCTACATTTCTAACCAAACCCTAAAGGTGAAAACACTAAGTAAACCTGTCATCGACTTGTATAATATTTACCACTTTTGTATATATATATAAATCTAGTTGTGCGTACATCTGTCTGTCTGGTATGAAGAGTTGTTTGTGAGGATCTGACTCAACCAATTTCGATGTTATTTAGTAGAAGAAATCAGGTGGACCCCTAACCCCCTTCTCCTCCTTAAGATCGTACTTTTAATCCGTATAACGCATCATTAAATTGATTAGTTACTACAGTGTTGAAAATGATTTTTTATGTACAACACTCTTTTCGAAACTTAACCTAGTGAACAAAAGTATATTATCATTTGAACTCTTTGTGACGTGCAGGACTTAAGATCGTACTTTTAATCCGTATAACGCATCATTAAATTGATTAGTTACTACAGTGTTGAAAATGATTTTTTATGTACAACACTCTTTTCGAAACTTAACCTAGTGAACAAAAGTATATTATCATTTGAACTCTTTGTGACGCGCAGGACTTAAGATCGAGTCTAAAATGGAGAAACAAGGCATTTCAATTTCACCAATTTAATGCCAAGAATGAGGATTGAACTGTGCGAGGATGTCGGTAGTGAAATACATGAAGCCAACGACAAACGAACGTGACATTTAATGCCGTGCATAGCCCGGGTACTTTTGCATCAGACGAACGGTTCGTATACGATGGCTAAAATAATGGAAATGGGTGGTTCTTTTTTTTATTTATCTCACCTGTATAATTTTTTGTTTGACTGCTTATATAAACCTCTTCTTTCCAAGCATTTGCTGTAGCTACGCTTGTTTTTAGCAATTTAGGTAAACTCTTAACTTTGTTTGTATGTTTATTTGTTTTGAATTTCGCGCAAAGTTACACGAGGGCTATCTGCGCTAGCCGTCCCTAATTTAGCAGTGTAAGACTAGAGGGAAGGCAGTTAGTCATCACCACCCACCGAATAGTGGGATTGACCGTCACATTATAACGCCATCACGGCTGAAATAGCGCGTATGTTTGGTGGAACGGGGATTCGAACCCGCGACCCTCAGATTGGGAGTCGAGCGCCCTAACCACCTGGCCATGCCGGGCGTGAACTCTTAAGTCCCCGGACTTTCTCTTACGATTTACAGTGGCCTAATCTGTGAAGAGTAACTAATTGTGTAACTGTAGCATCTACAAGGTAACTAATTGTGTAACTGTAGCATCTACAAGGTAACTAATTGTGTAACTGTAGCATCTACAAGGTAACTAATTGTGTAACTGTAGCATCTACAAGGTAACTAATTGTGTAACTGTAGCATCTCGTTTGTGAGATTGTGTAACTGTAGCATCTCGTTTGTGAGATTGTGTACCTTTAGCAGCTACAAGGTAACTAATTGTGTAACTGTAGCATCTCGTTTGTGAGATTGTGTACCTTTAGCAGCTACAAGGTAACTAATTGTGTAACTGTAGCATCTCGTTTGTGAGATTGTGTACCTTTAGCAGCTACAAGGTAACTAATTGTGTAACTGTAGCATCTCGTTTGTAAGATTGTGTACCTTTAGCAGCTA